AGAAAGAAAATTAGAGAGAAATAAAGTTCTACCCCCCACCCAACCCCCCTCCAACACACACAGTTCGCTCTCTCTGCTCCCGATTCGAATGATCGGTGAATTCAGATTTTATTTTTTAAATTCCTTAAAAAAAAGGAAAGTGAAAATAAAGACTGCTTCAGTTTCAGTGCGAAAATCAATACAGATTTTTTTTCCTCCCCCCAAAAAATGGTTTGAGACACATGCTCCTTTCCTGGTTCTTTTTAAGGGGAAAAATCGATATATTTAGGCAATTGATTGTGGATGTATTTGATGCTTTCCCTGACAGTGACAGTAACTATGGGTAAAATAAAGGGCAGAGAGAGGGGCGATCAGTGCACTTCTAAGTCGTTCCCATAACAATAAGATTCTGAGATCAGCATTGTGGGGGCGACTGATGTTGGGTTAAGAGTGTTTAAGTACTTGCAAAAGTTGAGTGGCTTTGGAAGGAGAGAAGAAGGAAGGGAGGGAGAGAGAGGGGGCGGAGGAGGGAGAGGCAATGCTTGGAGTTGGGGGAGATATGTGTGTGTGGGGGGGAGGTGGAGGAGAGAGGGAGAAACTTCAGTACCCTGAGCACAAGTTGCTTGAACGACCCTCAACTGCCAATTGGCTGTTGTTTTGGAATCAATGTGCAATATAGGGCAATACAGCACAGCGCAGAGACTACACCTCGAATCTAAAACACACTCCCAGGTCATATATATATAAATAATAATTATTATAAATATATATATATATAAAGGCAAGTTTCTCACCTTCTCACATCACTTTCAACTTATCTTAAGAGGGTTTGGCTCCCGGAAATATTATTATTAATAATAATCCTTGCTTTTGATGTAACGCTTTATCGGGTTTTGGAGACGCCTCAAAGCGCTCCACAGGACACACTGTAAAGTGGAGCGGCTGTGTGCGTTTTGTGGGCAAAACAACACTTATTCGTGATAAATTTACTTCGCACGAATAAGAGAATAAACACAAAATGACGTGTTTTTCTTTTTAAAAAAAGAGGGACGAGGTGAGAGATGAATTCACTTCGTATTAAACTGAATCCACAACCATTCATTTTACACTTAGGTTCGGTGGCTGAAAGGGTGTGAGAGGATGTGCGTGTGAATCTCTGAACTGGAATCGTTAAGTCCCGTTGATAAACCTTTCAAAGAAATCTCAAGGGGAGGGGCGAGGCTGTTTACTGCTGACAGAAACTCCACACTCTCAAATAATTTCCCTGTCCAGGTAGCATTAGAAGGGGTGTGAAACATGGACATCAATTTCTATTCAAGGGGGACGGGGGGGGGAAGGGGTAGAAAAAGTTAGCACCTAACTTTCAACCTCTCCCTCCCCCATACAACTGAGTTAAACATCACTTTTATTCGCTCACAGCTATTATATTTCGGAATCGCCCATCGCTCCGGCCGAATTCTTGGGCAAACGAATTTCAGTCCATAAAGGGTTAATTCAACTGATTTCTCCCCTTTCCCCTCCTCTCCTTCACAGAGAGATATCGTCAGATAATAAATATCGCCGGGTTCGGTGGTGGAGGGGGGGGGGGGGGGGGAGGAGAGAGGGAGGGAGGGAGGGAGGGAGAGAGAAGGATAACATTTGATGATAAATTAAGCGCACATTAAGTCGACACCAAACGAAACGCTTTAAATAAATATTGTGTCATGATGGGTGCGCGATTGAGTAATGCACAGTATTTGTATTAATATGGGACGCTTCTAAATAATTTCTCAGGACAGATCTTTCCTATAATATATATATATACAAATCGTTTGGTTTTTTTTAAAAAAAGGGGCGAAAGATATGAAACCCCTGGGCAGGAAAAACAGACCATGAAACCAGAAAAGCCGTTTGTTGAAACGGTGTGAGCGGTAGACAGATATTTAATATTAAATCATAATTTATAATAATAACGCAGATTGTTCTTGTTCAAACCCTCTTTGGAAATTGCACATGTAGTTGATTTCTTAAAATGTAGTATCTTTTAAAATAAATTGCTGGCCCGGGACTAGAGAAAGTGAGTGTAAGGGGAGAGCATTTGGGTGGGGGTGGGATATCTATACATTTAATAAGGTATAAAGCGCCTTTATTCATTACAAAAACCCTAGTATTGATTTCCCCATAAGTAGACTGTATGTACTATATAGGTGCGACACAACGTGTGATTTGATTTCCTACTGTATAGAGATTGAAACGTTTGAAAAGTAAATATACTCTCTATGGAGGGATATACAAGTCCTGGGTTGTGTGTGTGTGTGTGTGAGTGAGTGAGTGAGCAATTCGTCTCTCTCTCTCTCCTCTTGTCCCCTGGACAAGAATCTCAGTTTAATTTGAATTTCCTCATTTTGCCATCGCTTTGGGGAGACAGATGATGGGGCCCACAGGATGACGTAATTAACATTTTTTTGCAGGACGCGAGGAAGAGATAGCTTTTATACAATTTTTAAAATAAATATATGTATGTATATATTTATATAGTTCAGAACTGTGAAAAGGTTATACGTTCGGCTTAACTCGTTCTTGGGGATAAAAACAAAGTTGATAAAGTGGCCGTTTTAAATGGAACTGCATTGGAGGGAAAATATTAAGAAATAACTTTTTTAAAAATATAATAAATTATATATAGAGAGAGAGAGAGAGTCTGTGTTTCAAATTTAAAGTAAGGCAAAGAATATATGAGCTGTTTATAACCCGCAATTCGGTTCGTATAGTACTTGGAAAACGTGGTTTATTTAGCGAGGGGAGTGGGTTGGGTTGAGTGGGGAATGAGAGATGAAAAATGGGATATAGCACATGAAATATAGAAAACAGTTTAGACGCAGAAAATGTATCCATACAAAATAAGCGCACTTTCCTCTTCATTCGGACGCTCTTTCCTATTCATTCCCCGATAAAAGTTCCCCGTGATTAAAATTATTCCCCAGAAACTTTGCATCCGTCAAAATAACACATAAAGTCATTTTTTTTAATTACAGAGAGAGAAGAGGGTGTGTGTGTGTGTGTGTGTTGGAGCAAGCGGATATGTGGTCCATTGATAAGGACATGTATTTAAATCGATACACACACACACACGCACACACGTGTGCTGTGCATTTGTGTATAATTGTATTGACATTTCAAGCATTGAATAAGCTTGACATTTCCTTGTTTTATTTTTTTCTAGAAGAACCTCTCTCTCTCTCTCTATCTATCTCTCTGCAGACCACAACCCCGTTGTCCGCTGTCAGCCAACATGCGCTCACAGCTAATTGTTAACGAAACGTTCGACGCCTGGCCCCACGATTTATCCTTCTCTCTGCTCTCCTTTCCGCTCCTAATCTGATCTCTCGCGCTCACATCAGCCTTTAAAGTTGCAGTCTTGCATCGAAAGAGTTTGCTTTTAGCAACGAAAATAAAAGAATTAAAATGCAAAGAATACATTTAATTTCCTCCCTCCTCTCTCTATCCCCTCTCCAGAGCCACATATACTGTATTAAGGCCCATCGTGTCTGTACTGTGTTTTTAAGACACTTTTTAAATATTAATCCCACTTTCAACCTCCTCGCCCACCCCCAATCCCCCCCCCACACACACACCACCGAAAATCCCTTTCTTCTTTGTAAATTCAAGATTTGCTTAATCTTAATTATTTTTTAAAAAAATGTGTTTCAAATAAATCGTTTACCCGCATGAAAGACATTCAACACACACACACACACACACACACAGAGAGAGAACGAGCGAGAGAATTGTGAAATAAATTTCCATGCATAAAAAGTGTTTTGATTTAAGTTGCAAAAGGTTTTTTTTTAAAAAAAAAGTCAACGCACAGAAAAGGAATCTTTTTGGGGGGTGGGGGGTGGGGGTGGGGGGGTGGGGGTGGGGGGAGGGAAATCATCGCTGCGTCGCACGGTGATCGTTATGACGCGCTTTGCCTGTGTAATTGTATGTTTGATCTAATAACGTGAATTATTTAATGCCTCCCTATATAAAAAAAAAGTGCATGCAAAGCAAGTTGGTATCTAATAGCGAGGATACAGTAACAGTGCCGAAATGAAGCAGGAGGTGGGGGGGGAGGTTGCAGTTCGCCGCTTTGGCCAGAGGGGGCGCTAGGACGCTGCTTGCATGCTGTGTGCGTGAGAGCTCGTGTCAGGTGCAAAAATACACCTCCCTCTGAACTGAGGTCTATCTAACTCCGGGCCCTTTTGCAAAGGTGGGGGGGGGGGGAACAAGTCCAAGCGTCACCAGGGACTGCCCCAAAACACCGACCGACCCGCCTGCGACCACAGCACACACGCTGCACTCGGTTCCCATGGCAGCCGGGCCCCAGATAAATAAACTGCGGACTTTGAAGCCCTACATTGCCAGCCAAGCCAAGCCAAGCCAAGCCAGCATGGTGTGTTCCTAGCTCTCTCCAGTTCATTAACTCGCCTCTTGCATTTTGCAACCGACCAACTTAGTTCCACCAGGCTGAGCCCTGGACCTTATAAAGCGGCGGTGCAAAAAAATAAAAGGAGCGAACAGTTCCCTTAACAAAAAGTGCTCCACTCTCCGAGGCTGATATGCAAGGGGTGTGGGGGTGGGGGTGTGGGGGTGGGGGGTGGGGGGGGGGAGGAAAAACACAGCAGTCAGCATTTTCACAATATCTCAAAAACACAGATTGCAAGTATGTGGACATAAGTTTTAACACGTCATGACTTAACCTCTCAGGGCACACTCTAACCCCCTATTTCTCTCGCTATTTCCCGTCCTTTCTTTCGCCCCATCAGCATTCTCTCTCTTGACGTCCCACAAAATATTCGTCCACAAAATATACAGTCAATTCACTTTGCAATATATATTCTGTGAAACACTCTCGAGACGTCTCGAAGACGCGATGAGACGCTATATCAAACGCAAGGATTATTATTATTATTGTTGTTGTCCATGGCTTAATAACCTTCTTGCTCAATTTTTGTGGCTCTTCATCATTTCATCAATCATTACAAGAGAAAACATTTTTTTAAAGTTAGTTAAAAATATTAGTTGACCAATCAGATGCAATGTGTGTGGGGGTGGGAAGAGCTGGCCTATCTGAATACCACTACTGCAAGTATCTCACTTTGAGCTAAGTTTTTTTTGGGGTGGGGAGGAAGAAAGAGGAAAATGTTATAATACTGTGTGAGTACACTGCTTGCAAATATTAAGCTTGGCGATTCTCAGGCAATACATTTCGATTAAACACACTCACACACACACACACACACAGGCGTCGGGGAGGTGTGGAGAAATTAATTAGATTCATTAAAAGTTTAAACTCCGAAATTGATGCAAAAAAATCTTTTTGATTAACTTGGAATGAAATAGGAAAGGTAAGGTGGATCGAGACCCATACACACACACACACACACACACACTTTCTCTCAGACGCGCGCACACACACACACACACACAAAAGTGATTGTTGCAATTAGTTAAACAGTCCACGTCTTTTCCAATTCATTAAATATGGAGATATAGGAGAGATTTGCCTCGTGGCCCCGCTAGTAAATGATGACTGAGACGCGTTTTGGAGTCTTAAGATTTCTTCTGCAAGGGGAGTAGTGAGCGGTGGGAGCTCTGTCTGGCTCATTTGAATGGAGAACGATTCCTTGATGCCACCGTTAACAGCCATCCAGTCAATCTCAGTATCTCTTATTATAACATATAATAGATAGGGGGAGAGAGAAGAGAGATAAAGTTCCTTCGGTCCAGGTATGACGGAAAAACCATCCACTTCACAAACCACAGTGCGGCTCACAACCTGTCTCCTATTAGTTTCCTATTGCACCTTTTAATCCCCTTCAGATAGAGCTGTCCCAGACAGATCGATTTCCCGATAAACCGCACACACCTGAACAGTTGGCAAACTCGCCGACGGTGAAGAGAGATACAGAGAGAGAGACACACACACACACAAACATGCACACAGACAGAGACAGGTAGAGAGAGAGAGAGAGAGAGACAGAGAGACATAGAACATAACCCTAAGTGCATTAAAATTGACATTTTATTGAAGTAAAATAAAAATAAAAAAACACACGCAAATGCGAGTCACCTGGACTGAACGCTTAAAACAAATCTAAACCTGCACGAAAAATATTTTTATATATATATATGTATATATAACAAGCCAAAGAGTTAGAAGACCAGACCAGCTATGAATGTGTTACTGAACTCCATTCTTATTAACAGAGCCGCAACTATAGTGTGGACTTTTCAAGAAAAAATATTTCCCTCTATTTTAGAAATATTTAGAATTTGTTTATTTCCCTTGATTTTAGAATGATCCGCCTGAAACAATTTTTTTAAAAATGTTATTTTGCTTTTGCCCTTTTTTATTACAACCCGAAACAAACGTTGCTTTTTTTTCTCCAAAAAATACATTCGCTGGGGAATTAAATTGCTTTGTGTAATCATTTATACATCTTCACGTTAGAACTGGGAGTCGGTTACACTGTAGTCAGTGTCTTGTCCAGCACAGGAATCTCCCTTAAAACTAAAGTTCTTTGTTATTTTGGGGAGAGGGAGAGAGTGGGTGTGTGGGGGGGTAAGTTAGCCCATGTGACATGATTTAAACCGTTGTTTTGCAAAGCAGTGTTCACCCAAAATGCAGTTAGGGATCTTTCCTCATCACTCGGAAGAAAGTGCACAAAGAAAAATAACATTACAATAAACACACATCCACACACACAAAAAAAAACCGATAACAAAACGGATTCCCAAAGCCTCTTCGAGAGGCGCGAGAGACGGTGGAAAACGACACGAAAAGGGAACACCGATCAGAGTGGGGTCTGAGCCCAATATAACGGGCAAATAAATGTGTGTCTCAACCTTTGCACGTTTGCACAGTGCTTGCAATTAATTTCCACATTTGATCTGGTTTTATTGCGGCTGTGAATGTTGTATAACGTTGTAATTTCAGGCACACCATTCTTGCAAGTAAATACAATATTGTTTTGAAGGGAGTGGGGTCTGTTTGGTGTGTGTGTGTGGGGGGGGGGGGGGGGGGGTGGAACAAAAAAAATAAGCACCCTCCCCAAACAATGTGTTTACTTTTACCCCCTTTCCCCTACCATCTCCTCGTCAACTTGACAATTATCCAACTCTCTGACAAGTCTGAAAACGACCCCTGTTCTCCCCCTTCCCATCAGCACCTCTGAAATCGATCTATAATATCAAACTGCTGGTAACTCGAGAGCTGCGATTTCTATTCATTAAAAAGAAAAAAAAAGTTTAACTGCAAAAGCTCATGTGTTGATATCGAAGGGGAGGTTTTGATCGTTCTTGTCATTATCGTTTTCCATTTAAATGAGAATTGAAGTTTTCACATATTTAATTCAATAATCTCTCTCTCTTTTCTCGCTCTCTCTCTCTCTCTCTCTCTCTCTGGATTTTTTTTTACACAAGGCGGATTTTGGATGATCGCTAATTGCATTGTCCTGCCCAGGTCATTGGTTTGATGTTGCTAGACTGAAACTCTTTGGCTGACATGAAATATTAGCAGCGAAAACGCCACTCAGCTATTTAAGCATGCAACACATTGTAGATTACTGCAGTTTTTTATGGCCCAGAACTGAATATGTCACGCATGTAGCCTATGTTATACAGTAGAGAGTGATTCACTCAAGCATCGCACTGCAGTTCCATCTAAATGAATCTGCACAGTTACAAAAGAAAAATGAAGCTAAGCGTTGAAGACTTGTAGAAGCTCCAAAAAAAAGTGATGATAATAATAATAATAATGAATTTTGTATTAATGATAAATAATTGGATGTACTGTGCATCTCCCTCTCTCTCTCTCTCTCTCTCTGTATATCTCCAGTGCAAACATACACACGTGCAAATATTGGCGGTAAATTGTACTGTTCTCTCTCCATCCGTTCCTTGGGCTAATTAGCACATGAAATGAGTAAAAAGGAAACACCGCATTTTAACCCCAACCGCCAAGTAAATAAATCAATTGAATTTTTCTTAAACAGGGGACAATAGATGAATATCGAACCCTCCCCTCGCAAATTTTAAGGAGGTGAATGCTATTTTTTTGCGTCTGCTCTTGGTATGATTTCAGCTAGTTTTTCGAGGGCGTTATTTTAAAAAAAAATAGTTTTCTTTTAAACTTATTAAAAACGGTTAGAAACAGCAGTTTGAACAATTAAAACGATTTGGTTGCTCATCTGTCTCAAAGGCATGTACATTCATCACAACAGTCAATGTTCTGAAAACAAAAATCACTTCAAATTATTTATAAATTTGCCTTATTAATCATAGTCGGCGAAGACACTCGCCAAAATCTGTGGATTTTTAAAAAAAAACCATCAATAAATTTATATTCAATAGAATTATCAGTGGGGCACTGTTTTAAGAGTTAAAATGTTCACTTGTGCTCAGTTTAGAAACACTTAGTTGACATATGCATATTAAAATATCTATATGAAATATCTCCATAGATGGAGCTTGATCTGTATTAAAACTAATTTTAATAAACAAATTAATAACAAATGACTTGCAGCGAAGTACAAAGTGGGGGCCCAGTAACCACCTCTTCGTCGGGGGTATTCTGCCTTCTGAAGAAAGTAGTCCAAAGTAGTCCCCAGTGTGTTGGAAGAAATATATGACCGCAATAAGGCCCTTTTATGTTGAATTTCATTGCTCTAACACGCTTTTACGCTTTACGACCAAGAGATTACTTATTTTTTATATAAGTTATTGAGGCTGTTAATGTCCCTGTGTGTGGGTTTTACAACCCCTATTTGGATTTTTTTTGTATTCTTCCGCGCTGTTAATTTCAATGCTGACCCCCCCCACACACACACAGCCCCCCCCACCCCCCCCCCCCCACACACACACACACATTTCATTAAGTAAAACTTCCATAGTTAACCTTTACAGCTGGGTAACTACGTTTCTTTATTCCATAAAGATTTTATCTTCCACTAACACTGTCCAGAGCCACATACTGATAAGAATTTTAACTGTAGAGCAGGAGAGTGTGGCCTGCCTTAAAGACATGGCATTTTTATTTTCCTTTATTTTGCCTTCTTTATAGAACCTTTAATGCATTCATTGTTTGCAAATGTTCCTTTAGGCAAAGAATTAAATGTCAAGGTGGTAAAACAGCGCCTCACGTGGTGAGGGATGGTACTACACAACGCGTCCCGATACAGTGGTGTATAACACATGAAGGAGGATTGCCAGGTTAGCAGGTAAGGCTGTTTACAGGCTCTTTAACCTGTTCTTACAACCGCACTGCAACTCTGCAGCTCCAACCATGTAGGCACAACGCTGAGCTACATAGCTTTCTGCTATAATAATAATAGTCCTCGCATTTGATATAGCGCCTTATCACGTCTTCGAGACGTCCCAAAGCGCTTCACAGAATATATTGTAAAGTGAATTAACTGTATATTTTGCGGGCAAAATGCGGCAGCCAATTGCACACGGCAGTATCCCACAAGCAGTCGTGGATTGAAGTGACCAATTTTTTTTGAAGGAATTATTAGCCCTGGCAAAGCAATCCGCCAATCAACTGACAATCAGGTTCCTACTTACTGCTAGGTAAACAGAGGCTTGTGGATTGAGGAAACTTGGCCAACATTTCACCCTGCTAGGAATCAAACCCAGTTGATTTAACACAATAAGGGATTATTAGATCCTAATAATAAAAATAATAATAATAATAATAATCCTTGCATAGTGTCGGTGAGATGTCTCAAAAGTTTTTCACAGAATAAATTGTAAAGTGGATTGACTGGGTATTTTGTGGGTGAAAAAAGAAATTAAGCAATTTCATACCTGAAATCATTCCTCAAACGCACAAATTATAAGAATATTCCAGTAATTTGTGGGGTGTGAGACGGGCTTGGGCACCTGATTAGTCATCTTATTGAAATTAATTTCTGAAACGGAATGACTCGTATTCATGTTGTGAGGCATCCAAAGTTGCACATAGTTGTTGTGGAGCATTAGTCAGAGTGAATCAAGGGACATTGCGTGTTGTGTGTTTATCTCCAAGTTAATTTTTAATTATGAGTTCTGCCACAGTCCGTGGGAGCAACTCTACTGTCTTAAATTTTGTGGTGTCCCATAGTGTAGTGATTAGAGCACTCGCCTTGCAAGTGAGACAACCTGGTTTCATTTCCCGGGCTGGGCAAAACCTTAGGTAAGTTTCCTTACTCCATAAGTCTCTACTGTGCACAATTGGCTACTGCGTTTTGCCCACAAAAGCCCACCCAGCCTGGCCACCACCAGCTGCATTTACTCTAACCAGCATCAAGGACTCCACTTAACACATTTGTTGTGTTGCAAACTTGCAGAGGTGGTAGTTTAAGTGATTATTCAAACAACATTCAATATTTCAATGCAAGCTCTGCGTTTTTCCTTGGTTAAACCCCAGCAATTACCCCAATGCATGATCTAAGATCTCCAAGTCATCACTCTGCGCCTAATGCTCTCTGGAATTAGGATATTCCAAAGAGATAGTGAGTGTTCCATTCCAATATGTGGGAATTTCCATGTGTAGCTCGAACGCATGGAACTCTGTGTGGTTTGGATACTCTTAAGCATAATGATGGATTCTGTATTGTCAGACACCAAAAAAAATCCAAAGAACTGTATCAATACATAAACCAATGGGTTATAATCCTTAAAACAATCCTTGCTGTTGGTATAGCGCCTTTCACACCAGGAGGATGTAACAAAATGCTTCACAGGATATACTGTAAAATGGAGTTACTGTATATTTTGTGGGCGAAAGCGGCAGCCAATTTATGCACAGCAGAGCCCCACAAACAGCCTTAAAGCAAATAATTACTTCCTCTTGATTAGTTATTTGGGGGATTATTGGTCAGGACACCTGGAGAAACACACTCCTCTTTTCTTTAATTCCTTTTCTTTTTGAATTGTGCCATAGGATTTTTAACAGGCAGATGGGAACTCGGTTTACCATCTCATACCTGAAGGACAGCACCTCCGACAACCCTCAGCGCTCCTGCACTGAAGTGCCAACCTAGATAGTGAGCTGTAGGTCCTAACCTGAGATTGAAACTGGTGCCATCTGAACTAGGTGGACACGTCCAGTGTTAACTCCACCAGTTCCAGCATAGATTGCCAATGTGGTAAGGAGCCATCAATGTAAACTTCATATTAGGTGGCTGCTTGTCTCAGTTTGTAGTGCTCTCGCCTCTGAGTCAGAAGTTTGTGGGTTCAAGCCCTGCATTAGGACTTTGAACACAGTCCAGGGCTGACACGCCACAACAGTGTGAGTGCTGTGAGCGCAAATCCTTCAGATGAGACATTAAACCAAGGTTCTATCTGATTGTTCAGGTGGACCTTAAAGATCCCACGGCACTATTCGAAGAGAAGGGAATTTCTTCCCAGATAAAATTGGCCACCAATCCCCTCAGATTAAATTGGTTGCTCACTCAACGATTCCGACTCCATTGTTGGAGGTGCTGTCGTTCAGAAGAGACATTATTGCTTGTTCAGGTGGATGTTAAAGATCCAGTGGCACGATTCGAAAAGAGAAAGGAGTTCTGGGCAACAATCCCCCCAAATAAAAATGAGTCACTCACTTCCATGTTGTTTGCGGGACATTGCTGTGGGCAAATCGGCTGCTGCGTTCCCCTACAAAATACACAGTCACTACACTCTATGGTAAAAATCTTGTGAAATGCTTTGAGACATCTTGAGGGCGGGCTGAGACAGAATGATTATATTGTTACTGTCACTGGTGTAATGAGAAATAATGGCCAATTAGTTACTATGAAAGCCTAGTATCAAGAATATAGGCATACAATGTTACATTACAGTGAATTGTAATACTGTGTACAGTGTTGGTCATCTAACCTTACTAGCCTTGAAAAGTATAGGGGCGAGCAGCCATGATATCAGGATTCAGGAATTTAAATTATGTGAAAAAGTTAAGGGAGTGAGGGTTGTTCCCTTTGGTAAAGAGGACAGTGCGAGATGCCTTGATTGAAGTTCCCAAGATTACAAAAATTTGACAAGGTTGCTTTGAACAAATTGTTCAAAATAGTAAAGGATTCAAACCCCAGGGAACACAAGTTAAACATTAGGAAGTTAGGAGTAGAAGGGAATTCAGGCAGAACATTTTTTTCTTCACTCCCTCCTCTCCTGAAGGCATTCCTCCTAGTTGGGCTTATTGGCAACAATCTCCCTCTGGTATCTCACCCATTGGAGTGCTGCAGCACAATGGTTAGCATGCCCGCCTCACACTGATCCTATAATATATCATCATTTCTACAATAAGTACAGAATATTTTACTTCCTAAAATACATTGTGTGTGTGTGTCAGTGGCAGAATGCAATTCATATTCTATTCCCATAATCATTGCAGGTTGTGGGTTAAGTTTGGCTCATGGACAGGTGGGGTCCACTGGCTGATTTGCCCGGTCCAAACGCAGAGGTTCCGAGATCAATGGTCATCACATATATTAATTGTTCTTCGTTATCTCTATTCATCACATTACAGTAAATCCAGTGAAGTCCTTTGAGTCATCTCAAAGGCGTAATAAGGTACTTTATCAAACGCAAGATAAAGTTACATTAATCCTACAATATAATATATTGACATTATATTCGTTGTCACAGTTTATTCTGAAGCGCTTTGAAACGTCTCGAAGACGTGATAAGATGCTATATCAAATGCAAGGATTATTATTATTATCAGAACCTCAGGTGAGATCACCTAACGCCTCACAGGGATTCGAATCCATGATCTGCTATGGTACAGTGCTTACCTGCCAGTGCCTTTTAGCTATCAGACCACTGGGGGACAGCTGCATTGTGTGCTGTTATTTTCTGTATTAAAGCCACAGAAATGAACAGCAGTGCTGCGTGCTGCGCTACTCCACACAATAGCCTTAATAACAGCCAGTTATCTCAAGAAACATTTATACGTTGTGCTAACCTTTGCTGACAGCATGCGAGATGGGGACGGATGTTTGAGGTGATGGAAAAAGCATACCACGAAGTCTACTTTGTCTCGCAGCACTGTCATTACAGACACACAAACTCAGCCCCAGGCAAACGGTGCTGTATAAACAAACCCAGGGACACTGAAACCATCAAGGCAACAGTCTTTACAGGTTATGAGATCAGGCCTGTGTGTTAAGCCTCTCTCAACAAAACTCCTTGCATTTTACTGAGTATTTCCTCACTAGACTCGTTGCAAGCGGTGAAATCCGTTCTATCTCTGCATCAAAGTAACCAGAAAAGTAACACTGGTTATTGGAGTCTTGTAACGTAGTGGTTAGTGTGTTCGCCCCGCAAGCGAGAGGACCTGGGTTCGATTCCTGGGCAGGGCGAAACCTTCGGCAGGTTTCCTTACTTCGCATGCCTCTGTTTACCTAGCAGTAAGTAGGAACCCAGTTGTTAGTCGATTAGCGGATTGCTTTCCGGTGGTAATAATCCCTCCACCCAAAAACCATAGTCACTCAATCCACGAATGCTTGTGGGACAATGCTGTGCAATCCACTTTATAGTATATTCTGTGAAGCGCTTTGAGACAATTATTATTATTATTAATAATAATAATCCTTGCATTTGATATAGCGTCATATCAAGTAAAGTGCTGTATCAAAGCCAAGGATTATTATTATTATAATTAAACTTGCGCGCCTCACCTTTTTAAGCTAGTCAATCTTGGGCCTAAAATACGGGGTGCAAATCTCACATTATTGTAGTGAGGCATTTAAGTGTGGGTTAGACAATTGTTTCCTACCTTGTGCCAATGAGACTCCAGGTCGTCCTAAGCCTCATTCGCTTCTCTCTGGAGCTCGGAGTGTATCTACGAAGGTAAAAGTATTGCGGCCATTTCCTTTTCTTCCATCCTGTTGATCTGCTGCCGCTCATTGATGGAAGAAAAGTTCTCATCTGCTCGCTGGTCAGCCATTCCTCGCGATCTGGAGGAGTCCATTTCTCTCTCTGAAGGAGAAACCATTCCATTCCCGGTGGATTGTACTTCCCTTTTAACGTCGCAAACAACCTTCGGAAAGTCCACATCTGAGGTCCCGTAATTCCACCTGGTCTTAGTCTGCACTACCGGTTTTGTCTTCAATTCTGAATTGGAAAATTAGATCAAAGTCGACCTTTGGATCAGAAAATTGGATCGGACCGAACTGCTTCTGCCCGGATAATTACATGCGCATGCAATAACTGTGGAAGTTATATAAATATTCCTTGC